AATACTTTTTTCTTTTATTTTTAAGAAAAAAATTCATAGTAAAATATAAATTTTTATTTTTATTTTTACAATGAATATGATTGACATGTCAAGTATAATTAATTATTTCAAATATGGTAACATCATAATTATCTGCATTATCATTAAACAAACAATAAAATCAAATTTATCAAGTTATTACAACATCAATAATTGAACCAATAGAAATAATAATTATTATGTAACTAATTGTACTGTACTAAAATACTCAGATACAGTTCAGTTCATTGTACTGTACTAGTACTGTACTAGTATATTTTCCAACCCTACATATAATGATTAGTTACAGATTTCGTTAAACGAATTCAGTTAAACGATTTATTAGAGTAGTCACAGATATTACGTAATATATTTTTATTAGACATGAACCCCCCACCTATATAAGATATCTAATTTTAATTAATCAAAATAAAGCATATATATATCAGGTGATTGAAACTTTTTTAAGGCAAAAAGCATAATGAAATCTGTTAAGTAATTAATTCTAATACTTTTATAGAATAATGAAACATTTTTAAGGGGAGCTTATATGAAAAAAATTTATTTGTGCATTATCATTGTCAGCTTTATACCTTAGAATAACTATAAAATTTTTTTGAGAACTAAGGTTGAAATTTAAAGCAAGCTATTTAATGTTAGTTTTGAAATTATTATAGAAATCTAAAATGTTATTAAATATAATTAAAAATAGCTTTAAAAGCTATCATCTTTTCATATCAACTTTCATTATTTTCGAAATTATTCAATCATGATGGGTTTTTATCTTTAGTATCAAATTGGATTCAAATCACCATATTTTTAAATACATTGTCAATATCGATAGCCCCTGATTTTCTTGATTTTCGATTTTTGCATTCATTCATGTATCAGTTCAAGATGCAAAATTATCTTTCAACTCCAAAATTTATTAAAGACTTTTGTTACAAAGAACCAAATTCTACTTATCAATATTTTTGTAATGCTTTCACATATAGACAAATGGTTCTGACTAAAAATCATAATTATAATCCTGTAACTCTATTTTGTAAAGCAAATAATAAGTGGAAAAAATACAAAAAAAACAAAATTATTGAAGAAAAAATCAAAGATTTTTTTAGTACACCAATTTCTATATAGGGGTTTTTTGTTTTACATACAAGAGATTTAGCATAAACAATTGATGATTCACATGTAAAAATAATGGATACAACAAATATGACAGTTTAATTACTAACTCAACAACCAAAAGAATTACCTCATGCAAATGCTCCTTCCCAGAAAATAATTTTTGATCAAATAAAAGAAGTTGAAAAAAATTAGTAGAATTTACCTCTCTTTATAATAATGCTAATGATTTTCAGCTTTGCAAAGATCTTTATATGTGTATCGAAAGTTTAAAACATGATCTTAAAGAAAAAAAAAACAGCTTAAAAAAGTTTAAACGAAATGCAAACTATCAGCAAAAGTATACAGAGGGTGATCACGGGTAAGTATTTTTTTGTTTATTCGCTTTGTTTACATGTTTACATATATTTCTAATTTAAGCATTTGTTTAGAATATAAA